AACAGTGTAGCTCAACAGTCAATCTTAAGACTTGGTGTCCTAAGGATTATAAGAATGACCAGGACCCTAATGTATTCTACAAACTCAACAATGTGTGATGAAGAAATAACATTCTACACCCAAATTACATTTCCCCACAGCCATCAGAATATATACCACTTTCTCCTCCTAAATCTGAGATAGATTTCAGACAATTGAAAATTTTGAGACCATATAACGATGTCTAATCTACCTACGATTATAATACAAATACAAAATAAACCATAATCTGGTCCTTTTATATACTGTTTTATTCTAAACAAAACAAACAGTACTGAAGAAATTCTTGTTCAGTATAAACAACAGACCAATACATAAATAGACCAATATGCTTCTGCCTAATTTACCTTTACTTTAAAAGAAAAAACGACTACATCTCCTTCATAACTGTGCCATTCAATTTAAACTACACAAAAGTCAGAATGCACTTGGAATAAGATGAAGTTGGGTTTTTTTTTTCCAATTCTTAAATTCCCTACATTCTAAAAGTTAACATTAAATAGTATTTTCAAAGGAGAAACAGTCTGGCTCATTTAAAACATGGTCCATAAAAAGCACTTCTCCAGGCATGGCATAACATGGTTGGACCAGCTGTTTTCCATCCCTGCTTCACTCACCATACAGTGAGCCATCACTCCACTTTCTGTAAATCCAGGCTTTCTTACTGTTGACAACAGACAGTATGGTCAGATGGACCTGGGTTTGAGTCCTGGCACTAGTATCACACTTGGTTGTGATAAATAAACGATATTCTGGTTCACACACTTTAGACAGATCCACTCTGCCTCCCTTCTGACTTGCCTATCCCCTCAGGGCAAGATGTTCATGGAACCAAGGGGACATACCTATCTAAAGCCTCTGACTCTACCACCTCCAACAATACTCTGGATCCCAGGATTTCCTGCCGAAGCAGTCCCAAATCCACTTCCAGAGCCTTCAGTGGATCTGTTCTCAAACTGTCCTCCATAGACAAGACCCACTGTTATACACATTCCACGGTCTGAATGGTAGACAAAGGCAGATGATGAGAGTATAGATGGGAGACTAGACTTCACTATCCCACCCTGTCTCAGAGTTTGAGGAATCTAAAAATTCTGGTCTCTAGGTCATTATGAAAATATACCTGTCTAGGTAGGAGGAGAAATGTTTTGTTTTTTTTAAATCTTGATTTATAACTTAAATATTTAGACACGTGGAATACATGCTTTCATTCATGCTCTTGTCCTGGGACTTAAAATTATTAGGAGCAGGCCTACCTAGCTCTATCACGTACCAGCTGTGTGATCTCATATTAGTAACCACCTCTGTAAGCCTCACTTTACTATAATATAAGCTAGTTAAAACTTCCTTCATAGGATTTTAATGTGATGAAATAATTTTCAAAGTAATTTGGCAGGGTGTCTGATGTACAGCAATTTGTGACAAACTAAAGCTATTATTACTGGCTCCGCCATCACTCCTCTCCCTAGTATGGACAAAAAAAGGACCAAAAGGGCAAAAATAGTAGAGCCAATTTCAGAGAAACTACAACCAAAACACAGCCATTTGTGGGTCTCATTTCAGGGATTTCTGTCATTATTCCAAGGAAGTCTAGTGGTATTATTTTTCTTACAACCATTTCTCCCACTAAAATGTAAGTTCTATTTTTTGTAATTATATAATCGATGATTGTGGTAATCATTTTACAATATATGTATGTCAAGTCATTATGTGGTACACCTTAACCTTATGCATAGCTATATGTCAATTATATCTACAATAAAAGTGGAAAAAAAATGTAAGCTCTATAAAGGCAGGGATTTTTCATTTTAATTCACTGCTATATCCCTTACTCTCAGTCAGTTCCTTGCACAAAGAATAAGTATTTGTTAATAAACCATTAACTACAAAAAGCAAATAGAGTGGTTATATGACACCCCAACATCAATATAATATGAAAGCAAGCCTGGCATAACCAGAAAATGAGTTATTTATAGTATATGGGTACTTCATTTAGCTGCTGCCTCTAATTTCACAACAGTTTCCTTAAAAATCAAATTAATAAAAACACTCAAGTAAGTCTTTAATATGAGGGCATTTCTGTTCTCTTCAACTTTGCACTGTTACCTGCCTGCACAGGAATATTAATAATACTCAGTAATTTCATATATAATCCCACTAGAGAGGATAACTCAATTAACCAAATTATACTAAAGCTTTTGTTTTAAGCTCCAAATATTATGAGCTATAGTAGAAAGAAACCCAAAAGAACAAGTTAGGAAAAATACACCTTTCTACATGTTTCTCATGCTTTTATCTCTAACTCCCTTAAGTCTTGCTTGCACAGGTCAACCCATCAACTCCTAAGAATTCAAATCAAGTCTACAAACTATATCCTATACCCCATCACATTCTCAAAAACATATTTTGGTTTTCAAATTTCCTGAATACATTTCTCTCTCTGATGTGTGATAATTTTCAAACTAAAGGTTAGAATACTGTGGAGGAAGTAGGTAATTTGGAATAACATCTATTCTGAAACAAATTGAAATGACCTTGACAACATTATACATGACATTCTCAGGTAGAAAGAATGATGGCTGGGAAAAAGATTGCTCAGCAGCATATCCTGCATAACTGAGAATTAAAAGTGTGTCAACAAGGGGGACATGTTGCAGATATGCTTTCTGTATCACACAAATCCCAAAACTGGCCTGGGTACTTATTCAAAAGCTTATTTAATAAAATTGCATCCTCCATATTGGTTTGATTCTGAAACACATCTACCACATAAAGCATCATCTTAAAGAAAAACTACGTTTGGTGACCTCAAGATACTAGTAGCAAAAGAGAAGTATGATATTCCTGGGCAAAATAAACTCTCAATAGCCCTAAATTCTATGACCAGACTTACATGGATTAACATAACTCTTTCCTGAACAAAATTCAAAGCCTTTTTTTTTTTTAAACAAGGGGGACCAGCTGAGTGGCTCAGTTGGTTAAGAGCGTGAGCTCTGAGCAACAGGGTCTCCAGTTCGATTCCCACATGGGCCAGTGAGCTGCGCCCAAGCTGAGCTGCTGCTGAGCTGCCAACAGGTGGCAGGATGGCTCAGGTAGTGATAGCATGTGCTCCTAATAACAAGGTGACCAGTTCAACTTCCACATGGGATGGAGGGCTACACCTACCCACAACCAGAATTGAACATGGCACCTTGAGCTGAGCTGCCTTGAGCTGCGAACCGGCAGCCAGA